GTTTGCAGCAATTTCAGCCTTGATCCACTCCTTACTCTTGTTTCCCTTGTTCTGGGCTTGTCCTAAGACGAGTCTCGCCGCTAGACCCGCTCCACTCCCACTACCCTTCTCGCACCCTATGCCTCCCAACGCCGTCCCGCGCCTCCCAAAGCAATATAAGGCGATCTCGCCACCTTGCCCCGCCACAAACCTTGCCCCGCCAGGACCGTTCCCGCAACTCCTTCCCGCTATTGATCTTGCACCTTCACACCTCCCAGGAGCCCCGACCAATTGACGCCCAACAATCACCGCACCTCCCAGGACTGTTGCCCGCCGCGTTCCCACCACTGTCCCGCCACCGATCTCGCATTTTTTGGGACCCACCGACCCCACGTATCCGCCGGCAGGGCCCGCATCAGAGATGCCTAATGGGTGGACAGAAACACAAGGTTGCTACTGAAGGCGGAATGAGGTAAAGCCCAGCAAAAGATAGCTAACACGAATACCATCCTAAGCTAACAGTAGCGCTGAAACAACCGGGACTAGAGGGGGCTTGCCTTGGGGTCATAGATTTGCTGCGTTTGCCGACGCGCTGACATGTCTTGGCGAAATCAGGCACATGTTGGCAAACGATGGCACACATACAGGTGTGCTGTAGGGGAAGGAACGCCTTCATTCATGATTCAGGAGCCCAACAGCATACAGGTTATTATTTGTTGTGTGATTTACGCGAGCTATCACGCTATCAAGACAACTGGGCATCAGGCAGCGCCTGTCCATGTCTAGCGTAGTCTAACATACCAACCAAACTAGGGGGAAAGCGTCAGTCATCAAGGGAACATATGTGTCCTGTCCAGATGTAATTAACACCCAAAAACAAACCGAAACTATTCTCTGATTCATTGAATTCGCCCAAATTGGCGACCATAAATTTGTCCACGGCGCTGTTCCGCTGAATTGGCATCAAGGACTCATCCAGATTCTCATCCAGCAAAATCCAGCTGACATTATCCGAGGATACCTCAAGCCTCCATTGCACCGGGTCGAGACTGGCCAAATCGCCTGCAGTTGCACTCCATGCATTGAAAAAACACTCCCCTGCAGTCGTTTGCTGAGACCCCAAGTGATTTGACGCCGCTGCTCCAATCGATGCATCACCCCAGCCTGTCACAAGATAGTACGCTGACAGCGCTACATGCGTGGGCCACCAGAACACCACAGGGCCAGGGGAGGGTTCGACGTACATGGTGGTTAGGTTGAGGTCGTACACCTGCGCGTCTTCACAGAAAGGCTGTGAGCATTGTCATATGTTGAAAGCACCTCCTTTCGGAAAACTGCATGCAACCCGGCTTAAAGCACACCAACGCACAACAATAGTTGGTTTCAAGCACTGCCCGGTTGCTTTCAAAATATCCGGCGTGACAGGGCCTTCCAGGGTCAACTCTCTTCAATTGGAAGCATTGGTAACGAAGCTGGAGGGAATCCTTGTGAATTTTCATGCTGCCAAGGTCTTGTTGCCGCCTTTGGTGGAAACAATGAACATGGCTAGCAACAGGGTGCCCGCAAACAGAGTCAAGCGCTCTGTAGGCCATGGCCATGGTGCCTGCTACAAATTGCGAACGCTTGAAGTGAAGGTGGCTTGACTTCCGCTCTCTTGCTTGGACACACAACTTGAGAAGGGCCGAAAAGCTGGCGCTGCGGCAAACAATCCAAGCCGGACAGGATGACGCGGGAACCCCCGCGCGCCCAGATTACAAGGAAACAAACGGCACCGCCCCTATTTGTGCACCCAAGCCTCTAAGCCATTTTGATATTCTGTGACTAGCTGGCCTTGCCTTGTCAGGGCCGGAGTCTGGCGCAAAGTCTCCACAGCTGGCGCCGCTGGAGTGCGGTGGCTCAACAAGTCCCGCATAATTCAACAAGCCAATCTCTGCCAACCTTGGAGCGGGGTGGCACGTGGGGCTTTTAGAGGGGAAATGTCCACCGTCGTGACACTGACTTCGTGGCAGCTGACAACAAGGTGCTTTGACATGAGGTAGCCTCAAGCTTCGTGCGTGGCCTGCTCTCATTTCACTTCTAGGGAACCCCTTATCGATTTCCACGCTTTGCGGCCTGTGAAGCGTCCGTGAGGATCGGCTTTCGCTGCAGCGACGGCAGCGCCGTGCGGGTTCGGAAGGCGCGCGACGAAGCTGGAGCACAGTAGCAGTAGCAGTAGCAGTAGCAGTAGCAGTAGCAGTAGCAGTAGCAGTAGCAGTAGCAGTAGCAGTAGCAGTAGCAGTAGCAGTAGCAGTAGCAGTAGCAGTAGCAGTAGCAGTAGCAGTAGCAGTAGCAGTAGTAGTAGTAGCAGTAGCAGTAGCAGTAGTAGTAGTAGTACTAGTAGTAGTAGTAGTAGTAGTAGTAGTAGTAGTAGTAGTAGTAGTAGTAGTAGTAGTAGTAGTATATAGCAGTTGTTGTTGTGGCAATTGGTGATTGTAGCGGTAGCTACAGTAGCAGTGGCAGCAGCAGCGGCAGTGATTGTAGCAGTAGTAGCAGCAGGTGTGGCCGTGGTGTAGCAGCCCGGTACGCAGCACGCAGGATTCAGCAGTCCGCGGTGCATAGAGTGCAGTTGTAGTAGCGCTAGTACTACCAACACGGATATCACAAGTAATACAAGAAGCATTTACAGTACCAGTAGTAGTGAACAATAGTTGGTAGCAGATCAGCGAGGGGCAAGCTTTTGAAACTTCGAGGAGGAGGTTGAGCGGCTTTGTCGTGTCCGGCTTCCTCGCCTTCCTGACCTATGTGCAGGATCTATCCAGCATCCACGTTCCTCGGGTTGCCCAATTCACATCATTTTTCGTGGCTACATCAAGGACTTCGGAGGGGGCAACGCTGACCACACGTTTTCCTCAGCGGCCGGCTCGGCTTTGTGGATGGTTTCTTGCTTCACACTGCACACACACACACAGCTGTTCTGCCATGGCACGGCCGGACAACCGTGCGGCAAAGAGCGGTACAGTTGGTATCCTGCATCCCTCTACTGTACATTCTACGGCGCTGGCGGGATTCTTTAAGCCTGTGAACTATGTTGCCACCCTAGGCCAAACTCAACCCCCGCGCATCGCAGGCAATGCTTGCCTCTCAGCATTAAGAGCTTCTCCAGATGCATTCGGATGTCTGCAAGCCATGAGTTGAAGCAAAACGAGTGAGCCCCCGCCCGAGGCCCGTGCACAACACACAGAACGTCCTTGCCCGAGCCATGCAGTCCAGCCGTGCATTGGCTGCAAGCCAAGCAACTGCATTGTCGTTGCAGCGGACGACCGCAGCTTTAACGGAGTGAATCGCAGCCATTGTTGCCCGCCGTTGTTCAAGCATTGCGCGAGGCCGCCGGCAAAGCGCAGTAGCAAAAAGAGCCTGAGCATCCCTCACAGTAACCACCGCAGAGAAAGGAAACAAGCACAAGAACATGCCCCCTGCTCGCAAAGCCCGTTTCCAAATTTCAAATACAAGTTTCCGCCTGGCAAAACCGGCTGTGTGGTTCCCATCGTTGTGGCATTGGCAAAAATCTGCTTGAGCCTTTTCACCTAAATTCAACTGGCTCCTCCGCCTCAATCCGTGAAGAATCAAATGATGACTTCACAGCCAGCAAGTACAGGCAAACGACAAAGTCATGCCTAAGTCACTCCTTTATCTGTGTGGCCATGTGTTCCCCATGTAAACGCCGATTCCAAGATCACTCCTAAGTCACGCCGCGGCAACAATCCCCATGGAACGCTTGACATCACCGAGCTGATCATGCTACAAAAAGACAGGTGTCAACACTGAAACGCAATGGAACGCTACTGATGGCAAAGCATGTTTTCCAGCCCCGCGAGGCGTCTGCAGGAACATGAAAACCACTGGAACGCCAAGCGTGCGATGGGTTGTTGCAGGAGAGTTTAGGAAGACATGACACAATGGGTGGGCTTTGCAGGCTCTCGCACCGTGTTTTTCCACGTCCTGGAGCCCTTTCTCTGGAAGGCAGGCAGGCAAATACGCAATGCACCCTGGCAAAAAACGAGATCAAAACGAGATCAAAGCGAGATCACCGATCGTTCGTTGAAGATTTTGGGCCCACATGTGCCGAACCCGCGCCCACAAGTTCACTCACTTCTGCACCCGCTCCCATCAACCCACATCCGCACCCACTTTTCGACTCAATTTCGCACCTGCGAACGCCAGCCGCTCAAGCGCGCCTGCTCAGCCCTGCGCACACGCGCCCCTGCTCAAGCACAACGGCTGCCAGCCAAATTATAAGCACCCCCTCAGGCGCACCCGCTCAGCTCTGCAAACACGCCAGGTTAGTCTAGGCGAATAAGATAGAACATGCCTAACCATCCTAAGCCCCACGGAATAACCATTTTCAACTGCAATGCCTCCCAAAAGCCTATCCCTTCAAACATGCAGAGTTCCTATGCGTTTTGGAAAGAGGCACGACTTCTTCGAAGCCCTCTCCCCCATGGAATTTAAGCAATGCCTCAAACGGAGGCACGACTTTGTCAAATCCCTGTACGGCATTGTCGGTCCGTTGCAGCCAGGATGCGCCAGGAAGGCATGGCTAGACTCACATGCCATAGGGAGTGAAACGCAATAGGCCAACGCACATTGTGCGTGGCCGGCTGAGTCTCATGCAACTCATGTGACTTTGGCTTGGGGTCAAGTAGATAGTTGGCATTCCAACCAAAAGTACAAACAACATGCTTGGCAAGCAACAGTCCCTCATTTCAAACCGCAAGCTGAAGCCAAAGCGGCATGAAGCTCCCAAGTCCCTGCCGCCATCTGCAAGTGTGGCATGCATTACGTGGTCTCAAACTGCTTGCGAAACCAAACTGCTGCTTAACGGAAAGGCCGCGCAGACAGCCCAAACATGGCCAAACAGTCAGGTCCCATGGCATCTCAATCTACCCCCGCAGACTTCATATCGAGCCTGAACAAAACCTACATCAATCAAGAACATGGCTTGAAAATGGGTTGCACTGCCTGCACGTGCGTGGCCAAGCTGCGCCATCCGCATCCCAAACATCCGGCAGAATCTGATCCTTACTTGCAGCTGTCTTGCCGGCCACGAGGCCAACAAAACGCCAAGGAAAGATGAAAGACTGCTTCTGCAAAAAATCCGAATCCCAGCGGCCAATAAGGAAATGCTGGAATGGGATCAAGCTCTGTCACCCGGCACTCGGACAAAGTCATTGTAAAGGCCAACCTGCCGGAATGTCACTCTCAAAGCAACTTCTGCGTGCCAAACCAGAACTGGAAGTCAGGAATATCTTCACAAGTTACCTGTTTACGTGGCATTGCCAAGTACGATCCAAAACTGAAAAACATCAAGGCGGCAACTTTTGACAGGTGCAGTCGGGGTACTTGTTCATGAAGCCACGGTTTTCCTCGCTAGCAAGAAATTCACGCATGCATGTTGCATTCACTTGCTGGCACGGTGGCAAGGCACCGTGAAACAGTCACAAACAGCACGCAGGCAGGCATCTGACTCGTGCATGAGCAAGTCGATGATTCCAAAGGAAAGCAGAAACAGCTCATCCTCCCCACCAGTCCTGAGCCAAACAATTCGCTTGATCCAGCTTGGATTCACATGTTCATTTTCATATCTCCACGTTGTTTCAAAGGAAGGCCAAAGCAAAGCGTGGCGAGACCTTACCTAGCCCACCATGCATTTGCTACCTTTGAGAATGTCCCACATGTGCCGACGGGCAAAAAACACCGCAAATGCTTGGCATGACGGTGGACCTTTTAAATTTAGGCCAAGCTCCTTATTACAGCGTAGGCCGTCGGCTTGTCTGTGTTGAGTGCTGTCAAGCCTGGCTGAGCGACTGCACCACCATGGTTTCAACCATCAACTGCCCCTTGCGTGCCTGCCCCGGCAAGTCTGACTGGCATTTGCAATGAAGCTCAACTAGCTCAACTGATGCTCCAAAGCACGGCAGCCTTGAAAGCCCTTGCGCTCATTGCTCAGTTTCCTAGCAGCCTAGCCACCCTAGTCCACATTTAGAACTATGCCCTGAGAACTTTCGAGTTTGGTTTTGGCAAGCCTGACTTGACAGCTCGAATGCTCCAGTTTTCACCCACACGCAGGGCACGCTGAAGGGGCTTTCTTTCCCAAGGTCTATGGCACTGCTGCTTCAACCGCTCGCTTTCCAAACCCTAGCTTGTTGGTACCATCCACTGTATTTCCCGTCGCATCGGCAGGGGTGCCTCAAATGTTGTAGAACAGCAGCCGGCAGCCCAACCAAACAAGCCAAGCCTGAACCTCTTTTGCTTCAATCTGCTCACAAGCAGCACCAATCCTAGCGGCCTTCTTTCTTTTTGAGGTACCATGCCTGATCGGCCCGTGACGGAAGTCACGTGAACCAGCAGAGAGTAGTCCATCAATCCTTGGCGCAAACTATGCCCAATGAGACGCTGCCCGTGCCACGGTCCCATGTGCCCAATGCACTGGTGGCAGCAAACAAGCACTTCATCAACAGTATCTCTCAACATGACTGCATTGCTTCAGCGTCACCTGCCCGAATCCTATCATGCAGAATGCACTCCAAAACGTTGCACACACGGCCAAAAACAAGAACCACTGGTAGCTTTGATCTCGGAGCAGCACCCAAACGAGCCAGAAGCTTGCCGTCCGTGTAGAGTGTCCTGCGGTGACTGATGCTTCTGAACATCATGCCAAACATCCAGCTTTTCGCTGGCCCCAAAGTTTCCTCAGATTGACACGCCTGGCTAATGTTCACATTGAATTAATCAATGCCTCTGATTGCTGCTCGTGTTCTCGGGATCCAACGCTAAGCCTGAACTCCGGTGCCCTCCGGGACAACGAATGAGTACGGTGCGTTCGGAAGCAAACTTCCCGCACAAAATGCAAATTGATTGCAACTCCAACCCACTTCTTTATTTGATTTCCGGATGCGTCCTCAATCTTGCAGAGCGGCCACCTATGGCCACCTAATGTCCACATGGGATCAATAAATGCACGCGCTATAAAGGCAACTGGGGGCCCCAACAGGATTAGTAAACGCACCTGGAATAAAGACAGGCACCCGCCACCCACGCCAAAAAAAATCCCCCTGCGCCAAAAATCCCCCGCGCCAACAGATTGTCAGCTTTACCAAACCCATGTTTTCTTACATGTCTCTTGTTTAAATCCTGCCCACAATCAAACCCACTAAGGGGGTAGTACTTCAGCCCCTAACTTGACATTATTTAGGGGCCCCCGAAATAAAGTCTTGTTGCCTGGCCCCCCCAAGAAAAACAAAAGGAAGCTCCAGCAATACTAAATCAAATGGAAGCTCAAGTCTACCAATACTAAATCAAATGGAAACTCAGTTCCAAATCTGAAGAGGAATGGAAACTCAGTTCCAAATCTCAAAAGGAAGCTCCAGCAATACTAAATCAAATGGAAACTCAAGTCTACCAATACTAAATCTAATGGAAACTCACCTCAAGATACCTGTGCTATTCCACATACCCCCATCGTTGGGGGGGGCTCCCGTTTACATTGGACATTACAACTACTTTTTCCGGGAAACCCTTTAGTAATCTGAGGTTCACCTTCTGGGGGAGGCGTGGATGGGAGGGTGTATTAATCCAAGGTTAACATTGTAATCAACATGCAGAAAAGCACCGCAAGGCTCACATTGAACGAGCCAGGGCGACGCGGCAACCGCATGTCGGACACCCGCGCCGATGCTGCAAAAGCGCGTGTGCCTTGCAAAGAAGTCAGCAGCCTCCTCACCTTCAGGGCGAGCGCGGAATTTAGTCAGCTCCCCTTGTGAGAGAACAAGGCAAATGCATTGCGGGGACAAACCTCAACCTGATCATGAACTTCGCTGGAATTGTATGAGGCAAGTAGGACAAACACGGAAACGTCCCGGAAAGGTGAGATGTTGCCGTGCATGCCTAAGCTTGGTGCCTGCCGCAACGTCAATGTGTACCCTGTTTCCACATGATTTGGTACAGCACTCCCAGCCTACGTAACTATCCTGTGACAGGTGCTTGCCTGGCAGCATCACCTGCGAGCACGTCTGGAAAATGGCAATGGCTGCTCACTCCGGCTGAACAAGCCGGCAAATTCACCAACGACGCACCGACAAACACCCCCTCAGGCAGCTTGACAATCTCATCCATTTGGCAATGGCTGCACGATGTTGCGCGAGCGCAAACATTGGGATGCACCAATGCGCAGCGGCATGAAAGCATGGTGCAACCACCATCAACAATTAAAGCCTGATTTGCCGAGCCAGGCACAAGACGGCAAAAGTCATCTCAAACGACAATGGGTTTAAAACTTCTGAGACAGTCAAACAAGAAACTGGAAGATCAGGGGCGTTTGGAAAATGTGGTGGTGGTGGTTGGGGGACTCGTATCCTCCTGCCTAAGCCGTCTCTTGGGGCGTTTGCACCTCTCTATGGCTGACGAGCGCGCAAAAGCACCTTCCTCTGCATGGTTGGTGTGGGATGCAAAATTTGACTCCCGCCTGCGATATGTTGATGCCCTTTGGAAATGTGGCCTTGAAGTCCACATCTTTCATCACCTCGCGTGCACGTTCAGTCTGACCGCCATATGCGACTGAAAGTGCATCGTGCTCATCTGAAGCTTGAGGCAACTGCCTACGGGTGCGTTTCCCTAGCAGTTTCGGGCACTTTTGTTTTTTTGGTTGGCGCGCACCTCTCAACACATCCAGTTTCTCAGGCTGTGTTGTTTCTGAATAAAACTGCCGAAATCCAAGCCCGTTATGGCGCCCCCCGTTGAGGGTCTCTGAATTCTGCCCTACACTGTCGTTCTTCCCAAGGTTATCCTGCCGAGAAGGGCCAACGAGTACCGGCCATTCCCTGGAAGCTGTACGAGGGATTTGGGACATGGAAAGTCAGAGAATACCTTCTCCCTTTTCAATTTCATGAGGCAGCAAGCATACCACGCCGGCTCCCGCTACGAGGGTCACAACCCAGCCCAACTACCTGACCGATCTGCCCTTCGACACAATCACAGCCTTTACATGTTGAGCGCTCGCACGGTTAGGCTTTAGCAGCGAGCGTACGGGACTGGCGGCCGTGCACATGTTACAAGACCTTCTCGTGCTGTTCCTAGCCTTTCAACAAATCCCATCCCACTCGTAGATATGCCCTGCAGAATCAACTTCTCAAAGCTACATGTCAGTACATGTCTACAACTACTCATGGAGTACTGAACGACTGTTCGATTGAAACTGAAGGTTCCGACAGCTTCAACAACTGGCTTTACCTTCATCGGCACACAATGTAAAAACAAGGTCCTCATTAACACGAGCTAGTGGTAAATATTGGTTGAGATTTCCATGCGGCTCGCCCTCTATAGCACAAACCAAGGGTTGTAGCACCCCGGCCAAGGCACAAAGTCATTTTTCGAATCAGCCTTTCGGTATTTCCAGAGGTGGTTGCCTTTCAGGTCGAAAATCCTGGAGTAGAGCTCTTCTTGCGCTCCTTGGGGCCAACCAGCACAAGCAAACTGCAAGCGCTTGAGTGCGAGCTTCCCATTGGAATCAGAGGGTGGCTGACTTGTTTGTCTCAAATGGCCCAAGGCCTGCAATTCACCTGGCTCAACATGCGCTGGGGCCATGGGATGTCAAGGCTCCACGCATTGCCAGGTTGGCTGCGATCTGCACGTAGTGGGTAGTTGAGCCCACCTAGCCATCAATGGGCCGCCCTCGGATGATTGAAGGTTCATGCCCTACATGGGACATATATGTGGGGCAGCCCAGCTGCTGTTTTGGTGTTTGATGCTTGGCTTGCCCACGCAAATCACGCAACCAGCACAGGTCATCGCCCACGAACACAGGTCGTTCCTTTTTGATTGTTCTTTAAACTTGCCAAAAAGGGGCTCCCCCCCAAAGCGACAGTCCAGTTAGAAACATCTGGCGACCCGAGACTGAAGCCCCGCTTGAATAAACGATGGTATATAAGTAGGAAGGTGCAGGAGCACACATGATTCGCTCAAGCAAGCGACTGCAAGAATGATCAGGCGGGATGAATGCGCAGGGCAGAAAGCGGCGCACAGCCAGCCACGGGTGAGTTCCCCAGCTAGCCAAAAGACAATTCAAGCTGCAAGCGCTGGACAAACTTGCGATTCCCTAAAACACAAAAAGGCGATTAGAAGTAACAAACAAGAAGACCCATGTACGTGTTTGCACTTCAAAACAAGACGTTGGTGGTGGCAAAAAACACAATATGCTTTGACTAGGCGAAACTGGGAACACCGATACCACGGCGGTTGACACATCAAAGCAGACGGGAACAAGAACGATCAACAAACGGCAAACGTTTCGCGCCTGAAAGGCGAGGCTGCGGCAGGTTGGCGCAAGCAGCGTTAGTCGCCTGCGCACTGCTCGGCATTTGCTCTGCAGGCGCAAAGGTCAAAGGCAGGCCAGGTGTTGCAATGCACTGTAAACATGTCAGGCTTAAGCAGGCTTGAAGCACATACTTCAACAATGGCCCCCCCAATGCTCCAGGACCTTGTTGTCCTAGTAAGCAAAACTTTCTGCTGTCAAACGCGGCACAACTGGCCCAACCGACGTTCTGCAGTGCCATGCGCTTGGCTTGCCTGGAGCCCCTCAATTCTCGCAACAGCTTGTTAAGCATGTTGTGCTCAATCTCGTCCATGAGTTTCACGACCTTGATGCTGCAAGGATTTAGAATTGCGAATATGGAAGGGGATGTTCATGAGGAACCGTTTCTCTACAAGCCTTGGGCCAGAAAATGGCACAAATGACAGGGTTCAAAGCCCATGGGGGCTCAATTGTTGGGCAAAAAGTGACGCGCAGCAAAACAATGACAAAGCCCGACAGACGCCGGCAACAACCGGTAGTGCGGTCAACTCCGGAGCAAGAGCTACATCACGCCATCGTTACGCAGGTGGGTGTCGCAAGAAAGCCCCTGGAGAGTTAAAAATGACTCTCCTGACTCCTGATGTACATGGAAGTCATGGAAGCCACAGCTCTGAAGATGCTCTGCATTCGGCAAACAGAAGAAAAAGAAGCTAAGGCCACCCAGCAAGCCATAATGCCTGCGCGGCCAGCGCCGGAATCCAAATTCGCCAATTCTTTGAAGCGCGCAGAGCCACTGAGCGAAAAGGCGACAAGACAGCAGCACGCCCTCTCCCCAAAGGAGCAGATGCGAGCATGCAAACATGGAGTTCCTGGCCACCATTACAAATCATCCTCCTCTGACGCGCTGCGGGATTAGCGATGCTCAAAAGCCATAGTCTCTGGTAAGCCACGGTGGCCAAGAGGTAGAAAGTGGTCGCCCTGTGGCGTGGAGCAAGCAAGAGGAAAAATCTGGCGAGAGGAGCACGAAGTGGAAGCAAACAAAGAAGAGAAGTAGCCATGCAAATGTCGTCTGTAATGCCCCCGTCATGATCATGGGGCGCAGGCGCAAACGAAAAGGAGAACGGGGCAGGCTCGTGCTAGCTGCCCAAAGCTTGCCTATTATGTGTGCCCCAAATGTGTAAATTGCGCCGTATGTCCTCCAAGTGCACGGTGGTTCAAGGATTCGTCAAGATGATCTCCAGCTAGGGCTTAAGGTTGAAATATGTTGAAATATGGGAGGGCTGCGGGTTGGATTTGCCACGGACATAATCAGCAACTTTGTGTGGAACCTAGCAATGGCAGCAAGTTTGTAGAACTTAGCAAGTTTCAAATCACATATATTGCGGATACTTGGTGTGTGCTTTCTCACCCCTCTCCTATCAACATCAAACCTCTCATGACCCGTGGCCTCCCGAGCCGCACGATTATGATCACTATTGCGTGAAGTTGCTTCGACCACCACTGCCACTGCACGGGCGTACAGGCAAGAGCATGAGCCAACGCTCAGCAACAACAACATAGTCAACAATTACAGCTTGAAGCGTGCTCTGCAAATGACTATCAGGGAATCCCAACTGCATGAATTTGAACAAATCCAGATCGAATCTAGATCTCTGTAGGGTGTCGGGTTTACGACAGCGCCAGCCAGTGTGTTCAATAATTGAAGCTAGGTCAACTCTCCTGGGAGCGTTGGGCTTCGCAAATGGTCAAGATGCGTTCAAGTGCGCGTGTACAACACTTTGCCCTGGTGTCCCGCACTTTGCAAATGCAAACAATTGCGAACGACTTCGGATCTGGGGTTGTGGTGTCTCTGGGCATCGATGGGGTGCGTCTAACACTGTCCTGTCTTGACACCATTGCATTGCGAGTGTGGTTTGAGCATTTGTCGCCAAAGGCACGTATCTTGAAGACACCAGTGGCTTGGTGCCACTTTTGCCACCAGAAGCCTCCTTGCTTTCTGCCAGGACGTCTGAAATGATGCTGGGCCTCATTTGGCGCGTGATGCCAAGCTTGGTCATGCAAACATATACGTAAACTCATGCAGCCAAGGGCACAGGCTTCCACAAGCGGACTTGCCCCACGCACCGAAGCGAGGGCCAAAGTCCTGGTGTCAAATGACATTTGGATAATCTCAAACCAGCTTACGTCATCTAGGTGCTCAGTCTTCAAGAAATGCATGCTCAGCATCTGCACTCGTCCCTGCATGTGTGATTTGCGCAACGCATCTTAGGACAGAAAGCTAGGCCCGTTTGGCTGTCCTTGCAAGACGAATGGTCGAAATTCCTCAAGTCCGCCAGCCACTCAGGCAACGAGGTGGCAACCGTTGAGAACGTGCATGCCTCGCTGGCCAGCTTTGTCAACGACGTAGCGCATGCTGACCCTCCACTGGCTCATTGGTCTTACATGGTCTCACTGTCTTGCTGCTTTCTCCACGTCCTTTCCTATGTTTTCCTGGCACTCGCTCCATCCGAAAATTCCACGGGATGCACGAAGGCTTGTACCTTTATGCATGCAGGGAGCGGTATCGTTCTGTTCTCCATCCTCCTAGCGAACGCTTTCTTCTGGTCCAAAGCGCAAAGCGGAATGGGCGGTCGCTTCGGCTTTACATTGTGATACCAAATGAATGGGGCCATTATTTCCCCATGTTGTTCCATTTTATTTCATGGCAACTGTTCCTTCCTAGGATGCCGAACCGTAGATGTTCACATGATTGCTGCTCCTCCCAGTCCCAGTCCACTTCCAGCCCAATGTCGTCGTCCTCAACAATTGGAGCATATTAACTACCCCACGCTGCAAACACTCCAACCCCTCCAAGACCGGCAAGCACACTCTTGCAGACCTCGAGAATGACGCAAATCTGACAATCTGAATGCCCAGTCTTCTTGGACAATGCCTGCAAAATCGTGCTAACTCCCCTGTCTGTCCGTCCTTGTCGATCTCTGCGAGAATCTGGTCCACCATCTGAACGCTTGTTTGAGATTAATAATTTGAATAGGTGGGCGGCCCCTTCTGTGAACGACACTTGCAACAGTTAAAACATGCTGACAATCCTTCTTGTGTATTACGTAAGATTATACCAGTATAGACCTCAAATAGCAAGAATGTGCGGTCAGCCAACGAACTAAAAGATGCCCACCACACACGTGCTATGCCACCTGGTAGAGCAGCCAAAATAACTCTCACAACAGAGTGATGGACAACATTGCAACATTAGCACTCTCTTGCCGGAGTTTTGGTCAACTTGCTTAACGGGCCGGGCAGCTGCCAACGTAGTTCTCACAACAGAGAGCTGCGGAATTTGCTTGCCAAAATCTACATTGGCGCTTGCTTGCCGGGTTTTCGGGGGATTTGCTTACCGCGCCGCCTCTCAGAGTCTGTGCTGTTGCAGGGTGTTTGTTGCAGCGTGCTGCTGCAGGCCGAGTCCCAAAGCTGCGCGAGGCGCTGTTGCAGCGTGCTGCTGCCGGCCGAGGCTCAGAGTTGCGCAAGGCACTGTTGCAGGGTGCCGAGACTGTTCTTCTGCAATTCAATGAAACTCTTTCAGCTATCTGAGGAAAAACGCACCGAGCAGACTCTGTGAACCCTTTGGCGAAGTCTTTCTAGAAGTCGAGGTCTGAATCCATGTTTGGCATGACATCAAGCGGTTGTTGGACGAAGTTCTGCAGACCGGGTTTGTCCAACGCGGCGCCTCCTGATTGCAACAGCCACCGCGAATGGCGAATGCTGAATGCACGGCAGATTTGCAAGCCGTGGCCATGTTTCATGCTGCATTGCTGCTCATCAGCGTCTTGGCATAGCAGCGCGTGGCGGCAATGCAGTGCTGCAACAGCGCGGCAGCGTGTGGCAGTGCGCTAGCGTGTCAGCGCAAGGAAAAAACAAACGCACATAGCCAATGCAAAGGGATGCATTCACCTACTGCCGAGTTGCCTGTCACCAACACAAGTTCTCCTTGGAAGCACTGTTCTCGTTGTGAATGACTCATTTTGAATGACTCATTGTTGTCACATGCCAACTCCACGATAAACTGTGCATTGTGGATTCACTTGCGCATGTTGAGTCAAATTTGCACAATTCAGAACTTTTCCACACCTTGGCACTGACTTATTCCAATTGAATGAATAGAAACTGTGTGTGGTGTGTATCTGTCGCATCAGACACCCAATAAGGGCAAAGGTCCATCAAGAAATAATCTTCCTCAGCAATTCTGGAGGGGCCGGTATCTACGCTAAGATCACAATTCATGCAAGCTAGCGGGTAAGGCCGCTTCTTACTTAGCAGAAACTTGGGACTGCATGGGCAAAGGCTTGCCAGCCAATTCAATGCGGACCACAGCTCAACACCAGCCTCAGGTGTGATCTCAGAGCCGTCCACTGTATGATTGGTCGTCGAATTTTCCGCCTCTTCCCACGCAAACTCGAAATCCGCTTTCTCAGCCTCAAGTTGCTTAGCATGCTTGCCAGGCTGTCTCGGAACAGTGCTTAAATCCCTTGGCTCACTTTCAGCCACGACTATTGTGCGATCACAAAGGTCTGCACGGACTCCACTTCTTCAAATATCTCGGCCAAGATCGCGTCCATCTCCTCATGGTTTGTGCCGCTCAGGAGTCAAACTCAGCAGTTTCGATCAAACCTCTGCCATTCGGAAGACGATGGCTCAATTTCTTCGAAAGGCCAATAGCAAACTCTTACATCACAGTTGCATGAGAAAGCCAAGTGCCAAAACTATTTTGAGCGCAAATGCAAATAACCACATGCAGTGGCTCTGCCCAGTCCTCCTGAGAAGGAATGGCAATCTCGTCTGGCTTGGTCAGCAATGTCGACGATTCATTCTCCTCAGTGCAGCTGAGCTCGCACCTTTGCTTGGCTTGAGCTACAAGTGACAAACTGGGCCGACTCATGCATTCACCGTTAGCCATACGCGCCATCCTGAGTGATTCAACAGATTCACCTCAAAAGCTTCTTCGCAATTCTCACGAGCTTCGCCATTTGTGCTGGCCACTTGCCAGGCTTCAAGTCGAAGCCCTGTCGCTGAAAGGCCCAGTACAGAGAGGATGTACAGGTAATACATGGCAGCAGCGTGTCAAAATGCAATCTCGTGATCTTCGCTGTCTGTCAGAAAAGCTGTCGTGCGCATATTTTACAACGTGGAGCTATGATATTTGCAAACAACAGGAGGGCTTGAGCCGCGCACAACGATGGATCACAGTGCTTGCTGTTGGACCCTTCTTGCGGACCAAGAGAGCAAGACTTCCAGATTCAACAGCTTGTTTACCCACTCTGTGACTTGTGCAGCAGTGGTCCACACAAGTAAAATGCATTGGCATTGCAGTTGGCCCCCGGCTTTCCAGGGGACGTCCTTTAAACAGGTACTCTCCCTCCCTCTCAGGCTTTACTGAGAGGACACACATTTGCAACCGAATGTAGGAACAGCAAGACATGCGCAGCTTCCATTCCATGGACATGTGGGGTATTGTACAGAAAATGTGTTCCAAAGCTGCATGTGTGAACCAGCTTCACGCCCTCTCATCAAAACCCAAACTCTTTCTCAACTTCCACTTGATATGCCTGATCCATACCTGCTGTGAGCTGTCAGTCAGCTGCTGCTGGAGCATCTGTTGCGTGCAAAGATGCATCTGAATCCCCCAACATACAGGCGAAAACTGGGAACGGGGAGTGAGTGCCGAAAGCACTGCTTGAAGGACGTGTTACGTGTTTTTATTCTGTCTGATTTGTGGCTGGGTCCAGTGCACACTGCCCTTGCCTTGGAGCACGGACGTCTCGTGCTTCTGCCTGCCACATGATTTCAGCTTCCACAAAACTCCGCTGTGTAACGGGTGTCTCTGGCGGGTGTCTCTGGCACATCTAAGTTGAATTGATGCCTTGAAGTAGTCGCTCCCTCAAGCATAGCAAACGGCGACTCAAATATCCAAGGGGCTTCAGCACAAGACAACCGGCCTTGTGCTCATCGCAACCGTGCTTGGGGCATGTCTTTGTCTACAACGAAGTGAGGTCGTCAGGTTGTAAGCAACGCTGCGGCGTTGCATCATGTGGCTGCTAGCTACAACATCAATAGCACAACCTTAGATAAAATTATCCTAAAATGCCAGGCACATGACGGCGGTGCAGTTCCATTGGACTGCTGCCGCAGCAGCTGGCACGGGCAAATTGAAATAACAATGATAGCGTATGTATTCCACAAGGGCTAAACTACTAGGACAAACTACTCAAGCGCCCGAATTCAGGACATCGTATTAAATCCTAACTGCAACAATAATATGAAGGAAGAATCTCAGAATCGCTCCTGACATCCGGATGTTCATGGTAGCAACTACTTGGCGAGGTGAGGACGGGGAAAAGAGCCATTCCTTCAGTCATTCGCCTGTCACGCCCGGATACAGTGAAACAGCGCAGGTGAGACAAAGGAAGGAGAATGAACCGCTCTTTTCACTCGCCAATTCATTAGATACTTCATGAGGGTGTTATTTAATTGTTTTTTATTTATTATTACTATTACTAGTCATTTTCTGTGTTCTTTGAGTAGCGGCAGGAAGGAGAGATGACATTATGAACGCGACCCACTCCATCCTCACTTCGCTCGTCTGCAAAGTAAATGAAAGAAGCAAGGAATGTGTCCAGGATTTCGCATTAATACTCAAAATGGTTCACCACAAAATGAGTAGATTGCAAGAAACCGCAGTTGTCAACCGTTGTGTCCAAGTGTTTGTGTGGGCTGTTGCCCTAGCAATGCTTTCGCATTGCACTGCAGCGGCGCATGCACTGACAGCTTACTTGCCCACAAATGCTGCAGAGCTAACACGCCCAAACACCACCGGAAAACCACTGGCGAAACACCGTCTCGTCCAAAGTGACGACGCAAACACTTTCGAACATAAAGAAGAGCTGGACGCTGTTGGGGAACAAGTACGACAAACAGGGTGCCCAGGCCCAGCCAAGACAATGAACATCAGGCCTGCGACCACGGAAAAAAAAGGAGCCGCAAGGTATCGGATTTTCATGCCCCCAACCTGCTTGTGCTGGTGGCAACCGGGCAGCGATGTACCTTGGGCACACGTCCTGCTACAATGTGCTTCCTGCAACGAAGAGTTTTGAGTAAATAAAGCTTGCAATCTGACTCATTTCAAGGCATTCTTCATTTGCAAGTATGGTAAAATTGCTGTAGATACTCTGCCTACGTTCAATACCGCGTGTCCAACACGACTGCCACCCTCTGTGAACTCTATGCATCATAAACATCGAAATTAATGATGATGCGTGCATGGGCGTGAAAGTGCTTGCACCTCCTCCCTGCCAGTTTCTGCAACACTTTAAAGCATGATTGCAACCCCTTTTCAGCGCTTGCCTTCTGTCCTTGACATGACCAGTTCAGCATCAGTTCAGCCAATTCAGAAAGGAATGATCGGTATGATTTAGTTGTGCTAAATTGCTCGCTGTTTCTCATTAGGTTCCTTTCACTGGCTCGCGCTCCAGTGCAGCCACGTTTCCCCATGCATTGTCGGAATATCGTCGATGATAATCTGGCGTCTGTGAACGGGCGCGGCCTAAGAATGTCAGGCATTGCTGGTCCCCACTTTTGACAACAGGTTCCGCTGAAGCTTAGCCTACAGCGCTAAACATGCATATTAGCTCTTCCGAGGCTTGTGCCCATCAATGCGGCCACACCAGCCGGAGTGTCAAATCGTCTGGCCACGCTTCTGATCACGCACAGTATGCCACAGTCGAAACTCATGCAACTCATGTGAATCACGGGTATATATAAATCTGTTCGGAACCTCTATATTGGTTGGTTAAACCCCAAACCATCGTACTAACCGAGTAAACGGGTCTTTTATGATTTTGAGCTCGATCATGCCCTGGAAGACTTGTCATTATTCTGTTGCACACTGATGACATTTGCATTTGGCGACTGCAAACAAGTTCCCTGATTGTCAAACTCATGTACCCATACTGCTGTATACTCCAGGGCCTAATCTATGTCCAATGCTGCTGCGTTCAATCCAATAAAACAAAACACAAACAACAAGCAAACCGATTTAGACACCGCAAAGAACCCTAACTTATCCCACACATCCAAACCGCTATTCACTCGTCGGGAATGCCAATGCTACTGCCAATCCTGGTGCCCTTTGCAAAAGGCATGCAACTACCGACGCAACTCAGAGCTAAAACTAACCTACCTGTAACAGCTTGTTCAATATAGGCTTTACGACTCCCGCCCTGCCAAACCCGCCACGCCGCACCTGTGATGCGCTGTGGCAGCACCTGCTGCACCAGTCACTTCCTCCACCGAGAGTTGGCTGCTGCAATGGCAATGGTTTGGTTTTGCAACTGCAAGGATTTTGCAAAGCAAACCTCTCCCAACAACTGATACCCAGAATTACGTCATCATGACGAGCAACGACTGACTTGCCTTGCCACCGAAGCCTGCTATGCCGGGGCTCTCCTGCACCTTCTGCACACCGAGTGATCGCGACGCTTCCCCTAGGTGCAGGCAAAACGTAAGAGTATTACGAGTACTGTGGCACTCCTTGACCAACCGACATCATGTAAATTGAGACCTATGTCCAACCATTTTGTTAGACCAAAATTTCGCCTCTATCTCTGTGGAGGTTAAAACCGGCCAATAGTCATGTAACAAACCACGTCACTCTTCATGTAAGTATTCATGTAAACAAAAACAGGCCTTAAAGAAACACGTAAAAATCATGTAAACAACGTGTGCCTCAGTGTTGGAAGCTGGAAGCTGCATCATTTGCCATGTAACAGGCCTGAACAAAGATAAATGGCGCATAATCAGACAAACCAATGGCAAAAAATTGGCAAGAAGAAGGTAAGGCTCCAACCCGCCCCTCCCATCTCCATAACGAGCGCCCAAGGTGTTGATTGAATGATCTTTGCAAAATCCTTAGCAGCTACCATAGAAATGTTAGGAGGCCAAACATCTTAAGTCTTAAACACGTGGTTGGTAAGCCGAAGCATGCGTGAGCAGAAGCAAGAACAATTCCTGAGCGTGCAGTTGCAGTCTTCGGAATGGCTCCTAGGTACGCAGCTCCAATAACGGCTCAGAACGCTTCAGGGTATGATGCTGCTATCCCTCCTGAACGGTTCAGCACGGTTCAGGGCATGCTTGCTTGCAATTCTTCCTGAACGGTCCAGAACGGTTCAGGGTATGCTGCTGCAATCCCTCCCGAACGGTTCAGAACGGTTCATAGTATGATGCTGCAATCCCTCCTGAACGGTTCAGAACGGTTCCTGGGAAGCTTGAGTGACGAACGGTTCAGAACGGTTCGGAACGGTCTGAACAATACGCCTGCTCCGTGCGCTGCTTGCTAGACGGGCTCCAGAACGGCTCAGAACGGTTCAGGGGCATGGGTTCCAATGCCCCCGGAACGGCTCAGAACGGTTCAGGGGCATGCGTTCCAATGCCTCCGGAACGGTTCAGAACTGTCAAGAGACGGCAAGGTGACGTCCCGTGGGACGCTGTCCACCGAACCCTCCAGCTGTAAATACCAACCACGTAGAAAGGTGTATACGGTCAAATAGCCGAACCCGTGTAACTGTTGTAAGGGAGAAGGAATAATAGTTACAACAGTGGTCCTGACAAATGCAGCGCAAGCGAAGTGTTTTCCGATCACGTATGAATGCAGCTACACATAAGATCTTGAACCTCACTTGAGCCTTGAGCCAAATGGCAATCAATGGAACCTTGTAAGCAACACAAACACGGACCTCAGAACTGCTTCCCAATTTAGGCACGGGGCCAGGAGGGCTTTAACATCCCCCATTTGGGTCGCATTGTTCATCATGCGGTCCAAACACCACAAAACGTTCCAATGGCCACGGCTTCAGCTACGAAACTGTGTCGAACACTCTTTCATTCATTATTGCTACACCGTCCATTCATTGTGAAACTTGCCAGGTCCAATCAAGGCAGAAACATGCATCCGCAAATCGAAGCACATTCCTACACTCAGATGCAAGAGACATTTTGCCTCTAGCCAATACGCAACCACTTGAAATCCCGGCTGCCGCATTTGCGCATCGCGCAGCCGTCATCCACCGAAATGGGTTGGCCATAGAAAT